AGGACTTGTGTCGCTAAAGTTTCGTCGGAACGAATTTACGGAAAATTAACTAACGAACCGAGACGCAACAATATTTTCAATATCCACTAGTGAGGCCCGGGATAAACTGCCCTGATAATCAGCTAACCTGTTTTTGTATTGTAAATATTTCTATTCTTTATGGCCAGCTACCTTCTTCATTATTTAAGAATTTCCACTGTTATGACCAATTACATTCTTTCCCTTGAAATTGAATGTTTTTTTAAAGCTTTGGGTGTGTAGATTACTCCATGAACCACTCGTCAGCCTCTGAACAAAATTCCATACTTGATGATTTCTTAGTGGACACAAATTGATATAAGATGATATTTTGCCTATCATTTAGAAGCAACCCTTGATGGGTTAGCACTAAGGTAGCTTATAACTCTTAAAATCGGATAATTCAGATAGCCCATTGTGTAACTTTGCGCTAAAACCAGCGCCAACTACAAGCTGAATGTATAAAAGATGATAGTCAACATTTTGTTAGAGCAAACTATGCAACAGATTCTTGTCAGCACGTTAGTTTGAGTTAAATATTAATAAAGGACATTCATTGGTCATATTGAGATCGATAAAGAGGCGATTGTACTCCGAGTTGCGATTGGTTAAAACTGATTTACGTAAGGTACCTGAGATACAAATGTCAAAATGTTTATCCAGTCACATAAAGGGCTATTTTCTGGTTAAAGCAATGTAAATTCAGTTTTAAAAGTCTGAGGAATATGCCTATATCAACTGATTTTGGTAGTATTTGTTTAAACTCATAAATCGTTTCTACGATTGCGCTTGAAATTTATCAACAACGGGAAATGGAATAACAAAAGTATACTTACATAGTTCTGTAGTTTTAAACATGGTTTTATTATGCTTACATAGTTCTGTAGTTTTAAACATCGTTCTATAATACTTACATAGTTCTGTAGTTTTAAACATGGTTTTATTATACTTACATAGTTCTGTAGTTTTAAACATGGTTTTATAATACTTACATAGTTCTGTAGTTTTAAACATGGTTTTATAATTTAAAACTACAGAACTATGTAAGTAGTATCGTTTTATTATACTTACATAGTTCAGTAGGTTTAAGCATCGTTTTATAATACTTACATAGTTCAGTAGGTTTAAGCATCGTTTTATAATACTTACATAGTTCAGTAGGTTTAAACATGGTTTTATAATACTTACATAGTTCTGTAGTTTTAAACATCGTTTTATTATACTTACATAGTTCTGTAGTTTTAAACATCGTTCTATAGCGATAAAAAGTTTGCTTAAAAACGTAAAATCCCATAAGCCGATGACACAATTAAATTTCATGCATCTCTTATTTATTTGTATCTTGTTAAGCGCAATGGGCTATCTGTGTTTTGCCCACTGCGGGAATTGAAACCCGATTTTTAGCGTTATCTCAAATATCGTATGAAGTGAAAAATGTTAGAATGCGCTGTTGATGTTTCAAATAGTTTAATTCTTAGAGGAATCTTAGAACAATGGTCTTGTTTCTAAAGTTCTATAAGCAAAATTTTTAAAGATTTGTACAAATCCAATGAAATGTAACAGATAAAAATTACTGCAATAATACATATATCACTTTCTACGTTTATAGATAAAACTATGACAAAAACAAGGACAGGCAATCATAGCTATTTTGATATGAGAATATCTTCAACAAGCTTACAATAAACTAACAACAAACAAAAATCTTATATCTACATCAAGCCTTCATTATTTTAGTACCAAAAATATTTATAATAAGTCTTCAAAGGTTTCCACTAGAATATCTTTCATGAGCCCTAAATATATTCAAACTCGAATATGTTTGACAGGATTTACTTCTGCACCTATTAGAATATTTATAATAGTTCTTGCTTATTTGTTATACTAGAATGTGTATAAATGTTATTTATCTCGTCTTCTGGTGACGGGCCTGGCATGGCCTGGTGGTTAATCCTCTCGACTCGCGATCTGCGGATAGCGGATTCGAACCCCCCTCACACCGAACATGCTTTCTCTTTTAGCCGTGAGAACGTTATTATGTGACGGTAAATCCTACTGTTCGTTGGTAAAAGAGTAGCCTAAGAGTTGATGGTGGGTGGTGTTGACTAGCTGCCTGCCATCTTGTCTATCACTGCTAAATTGGTGACGGCTAGTGCAAATAGTCGTCGTGTAGCTTTGCGCGAAATTCCAAAAATAAACAAACAAACCTTCTGGTGACTAATTGGCAAGCTCGAGGGCTTATAACTCTAAATTTTGGGATTCGATCCTCGTGGAATAGCTCAGGTATTTCATTGTTTAGCTTTGCGCTTAACAAGAGTAAAGCAGTCTTGAACTATGATGATCTTGAATGTGGTCACTTTCTTTTGATATTTCTGGATTTTCTCACGGAAGGTATTCTGGGGAATTTCTTCATGCTTGTACTAATGGGTTCTCTAGTGACATCTGTCGCATAAAGGTTTGTAAATACCTAAAGACTCCATCTTACCTGTTTTCTTAATGGAAGTGACAAGATGACATGAGTGACTTGGAGAATTAGTCATGTCTGGTATTCGGTATAACATAATTAACAATAATGATCGAAATTAAAGAAGAGTAACTCTGAACATGTCTGAATCAAGTGCCTATTTTGTTTCCCAAGAATAGATAAAGTGATTTGTCTTATAATTGAAACGTGTGATCAGTCTCTCACTTAATTAGATCAGACCAGATTTCAGATTTTTGCAATAAATTTTTGGCCGAACCTCTTGTTGGTGTGGTACTGTTCTTACTTATCAGCGAACCACAAGAAGATGATATAGACCAACACGTCTCAACATGTCATCAAAATTGTAGTGACAACCAAAGTCTTAAAATTAATATTTATATTTAATATGCATAACGTTGTTTTTACAATTATCAGTACTGAAAGGTTTTTATCACAGTTGCAGTTTCACTTTATAAGTAAAACAGTAAAACTGCTATTTCGATCTCTAGTTCTTATCAACTTTATAGTATTCGCTTATACATTTAATTGCATTATGTACATTTTACAAAGACAGATGGTATTTCAATAGGTGGAGGGTGTTACTAAAGTTCTATAGGCAGACGGTATTTCTATAGGTGGAGGGTGTTACTAAAGTTCTATAGGCAGATGGTACTTTTATAGGTGGAGGGTGTTACTAAGGTTCTATAGGTGGAAGGTGTTAATAAGGTTCTATAGGCAGATAGTATTACTTGGCAAATTATAATTACTAAGGTATGAACAGATAATTTAATTGTATTGTGTGTAATTAAGCACAACGCTACACAATGGGTTATCTGTGCTCTGCCCACCACGGGTATCGAAATCCGGATTCTAGCGTTGTAAGTCCGCAGACATACCGCTGTGCTACTGGGGGGCCATAATTTAATAGAATGACTAGCTCACTGTAAGGTGTCTCAACCTGTAATTACGTAGCCTAGATTTAATTATATGTCCTAAAAAATTACAAATAATACCAAAACAACAAATTGAAATATTTTGTCAAGGACATTTTTTTACTGCTATCACAGTTATTTTACAGATTTTGTTTGTTCTTAAATTCTTCAAAGGTAGGATACACACACGTTATTTTGATAAATCTTGGATAAAGTTATCTTTTTCTGAAGTATCTCAGAATGTATCATCGATAAGGCCTGATAATTCAACTGTGTTACTCTTTGATTAAACAGATGTAATTCGTTGTATTGTATAATAAAATTGAAAATCTCATACATTTCACATGTTTGTAAAGTTGATATAGTTTTTAGGTCTAAGTAGATATTGTTACGACAGCGGGTGTCACGTGACGCTAGTAACACGTCATGAACTTCTAGAAGGATCCTGTTCCTTCCTGAAGTCTCGAGAGGCTACTAGATATGAGGTAGTCTTGTATATATAAGCCGCCAAGAACTGCCGGCAACAATGTGTAATTGACAGTTGAGTTGAGCACGTGAGACGCTCGTTGTGAATTATAGCGTTTGTTATAGCGCGACTGTGGAAATTAAGTGTATTGCAAAGTTGCATTCAGAAAGAATAAACCAGTTTTATTTGAGAAAGGACTTGTATCGCTAAAGTTTCTTCGGAAAGAATTTCTATGGAAAATTAACTAACGACCAGAGACGTAACAATATCATTAATATTAAAAGTAACAAGTAGAATTGAATCGACCATAGTCAAACTATCTTTCATTTTCGAAATGGTGTATTTAAGTGTTTTACACTCACAACAAAGAAACCTATCATTCTATTGGTCTTTGAAGATTCTGCCACAATTTATTTCTTCGTATTGTCAGCCGACACTAGGCAACTGGTACATAATTGTGTAACAAGTGGAACTATAACGTCGCACCTCCCTTACGACAGCCGCGTCCTCTGGTAAGACAAACTATAATGGTATATTTAAGTGTTTTACACTCACAAAAAAGAAACCTATAATTCTATAGGTATTTGAAGAACTTGTAGCATTCTGCCACAATTTAATTCTTCGTATTGTTAGCCGACATTAGGCAACTGGTACATAATTGTGTAACAAGTGGAACTATAACGTCGCACCTCCCTTACGACAGCCGCGTCCTCTGGTAAGACAAACTATAAGTATGACGTCATCATCGCTAGTGCCTATCGCTTAACAATTAAGTAATCTTCCGGTGTTGGCATAATTTGTATATTACGTAATAGTTACGTACCCCTCAGGCGGCATCCTTTGTCTGTTACGTAACAGTTGCATAAACCCAGATGGAAGCATCTTTTGGACACTGAATAGTCCCCCCTAACTAATACTGTAGACAAACAAAAGAACACCTGACCATAACAAAGGTAAAACGATTGTGTTAGTGATCAGAGTCAGGGAATAAAATAAACTGCATTAAGCTAAAAAAGGCGAACAAAAACTGTATTTAAATAAATGTTGCGTCATCGAGATCACGTGACAATTCTCACGCCCTCTTGTTTCTAGAACTATCCCGTATCTTGGCGAATGCTCTAGTATTTACTAGATAGGGTAGGCTGGTTTATAAAATAGGGGTGTGTAATGTGTGTGTAGATAGTGAGTAATTGAACTGCAGTCAGAAGTATTATTGACGTTCGTTGTTATAGCGTTTGTTTAGCGCGATTGTTGAAGTTGAGTGTATCGGTAAAGTTATATTCGGAAAGAATAAACCAGTTTTATTAAGTAAAGACTTGTGTCGCTAAAGTTTCGTCGGAACGAATTTACGGAGAGTTAATTAACAAACGGAGACGTAACATAAACGAAAACGCTAACTATCTTTGCTTAAAATTAGGTTAGAACATGCAAATTAGCAAGTCGAACACTGAACCTTGCAAGACAGAAACAAACCTGCTTGAAAATGCCAAAATTACTCTATGTTGTTTCTGCAGCTTACAAAAAAGAAAATTATATTATGAAAATAGGAAAATAGCTCTATTCCACTTAGCCGTCATAGATCAGTCCCATAAGCATAATAGCCTATGAAAAAGAGTTATTTTCCGTGATTAGTCTCTGTCATACAAAAAAATAATACCTAAAGCTGAATTGGTACATGACCTTGGTTGGAGTTAATACATTTCTAATTAAAACTTTGGAAAGAATTATAATTTTCTAAAGATGAAATATATATAATATATGACAGTGTAATATGTATTGTTATGACAGCGGAAGTCACGTGACGCTAGTAACACGTCATGATATTCTAGAAGGATCATGTCTGTTCGTGGCAACTCTGGTCAATCGGAAATAGAATTGCAGACAGACAGAGACGGACAATTGAGTCAAGCGCGGTAGTGACCGTAAGTAAACTGCGTGAATCGTTGTGAATTCTAGAGTGTGTTTAAGCTAAAGAGACGAGTTTTATTTAAGATAGGACTTGATCGCTGAAATTTTTTGGAAAGAATTTCTACGGAAAATTAACCAACGAACATAGAGGCCTAACAGTATTGTTTTCATATCATATTCTCAACTAGTCTTCCAACAAGTAAGTGAACAGCTGTTTAAATAAGAAGTTCGGTAGAAAGATTTGCAGAGTATATCTGAACTTTGACCCGACTGAATCAAGGAAATAGGCTTAACAACAAATTTTCTGGTAGTAGCGGTTGCATTCATTACTTGTTATAATACTCTGTTAGATGTTAAGAATTCGTCGCTATAGAATTTACAGTATGTATTATTTCTTTTGCTTCTGTAATTTAACTACAAACCTCATCTTTAAAATATTTTCTTATTATAAAACACGTCTTTCACCTTCAAGACCTATTTAAAACTTTTAGAAAACCATTAAAATTGAATCTGCAACTTTTTAGACAATGTAGCCAATAGGATATTTTAATGATCCATAGTAATGCGCAACTTGCAGAACTACTAATAAAATAAAAGAAAATTAACTTTCCCTTAACAATAGTGCATGATAATAGATTTTTTATGTTCTCAAGTGGGAAGAGCTTAAACATGTTGCTCATAACAAATTGTGTGTTCTAGTACTATCAGGGGCGCATCTTTTTTATTTAACTATTGGTTGTGGCATTCCATACTAATCTTAACAGCGTATTTCGTATTCAATTTTATTCTTCTTTTGTCCTCGGTTGGGACAGTGGTAAGCTTACGAACTTCTAACACTAAAATTCAGGGTTCGATTTCCCCGTGGTGGACACAGCAAATAGTCAAATGTGGTTTTTCTCTGAAATAAACAAATAACAAATATTCTTGTTTGTCATGATAATATAGATATATGTACGTAATTATTATTATTTTTATATATTGCATAGCAATTCTTCAAACAGTTGTCTTTAAGACAATATACAACTATATAAATATAAATATATATAAATATATAAACATATAACTTCTATAAATGTTAGAATTAGATATAAGAATTTGTTTAAATCTGTATCGTCAGTTAGCTTCTTGTTTTATTTTCTTTTGTTGTTGTTTTTTAACACGAAAGTTTCAATTAAGCAAAGTTATGTAAAAATATTGCTTTTCTGATTGACCATCTTATTAGTTTAGATTTTAACTTAGATAAAGAAAAAATATGTTTTATTTTTCTGGTTCTAATATAAATGTATATTTAAAAACTTCAAAGAATGACAAGTAAATATTTTGATTTAGTTAGTTATCACAATGCAGAGGTCTCTTTTATCTAATACAGCTTAATATGGCGAACTTTGTTGATTTTTTTCAGAAAGGAAAAGTAAGGGAGTGAAATCATATCATTTTATGAATACTTATATTTTTATGGATTTTTTAAACTAGTCTGAGGTTATTTAATTATTATTATTTTTTAACTGAATGGATGATGCAGTGTTTAATATTACATGGTATTCCATAGGAATTATATTTTTACAAATATTACTAATAGTAATACTGTTGACACATTGATATATTCATAATATTGTTAATGGTAGCCTTGGTCCGGCTTGAGCCTTTGCTCGATTTTAAAACGTATACAAACTATAATTCTATATGAATATGATTTAAACTTTTGTGTTTCCCATCGTAAGTGAAATATATGTATATGTAATATTTAAACTTGTATGGTGGAAGTACGAAATTTTTTATTTTGTCCCGTTTTCATGTCAGAAGGTTAACATGAACTGATGAAGAATTATAATTTTTAACCTCTTGACGTAAGAAGTTACTGAGCCTGAGGTAATGTGTAATGATAATCAATGGAGACAGAAATATTTGTTATCCTTTTCGATGACGAGTAACCCACTTTGAGACTAATAATGGCTGGAGACGGCTTGAATGGGTAATGAAGAAAAACTTTAATATAAGTTTAACATAACAGCAAATGTACAACGTTTCGACAAGGTTTTGTCATCATCTATAGGGCTTTTTTCTTTAGTTGTATGGTAGGCAAAAACCAGAATTAAAAAAGCCTTTTTTAAG